TTGGTCATTTATATCCAAAAACAATTAGGCAAATGACCCCTTTGAACCTCTACATGCTGTGGCTAGCGGAAATCAATGTTAGGCGGAATTTAAGCGAACATTATAAACTTTTTATTAAAAACTAAAATCATAATTTTCAAGGAATTCCAAAAAAAAGTGACCGTACATTAACCGATAATAGAAATCTAAAGCTAATTATCACTGGATTCGTAGCCAGTAGCAGAATAGGTAAACATATGACTGCCTTAAAATACTAGTGTAAATATAAATTGAGCAAGGTGAGTAAAGCAACGGCTTGGCTGTAAGAGATGGTTAATAATTGAAATGGATCGTAATATAATAGGAAAAAAATTTGATGTAAGAGAAAGTGTTGATATTTAAAGTGTTATAAATTCTTGCATCGCTTTTTTTTTTTTTTGTAAAGATTGGCCATAAATTTAAGTAAGTAATGACCGCAATCAAGTATAACGTTATTACGGTGATTTAAAAAAAAATAATAATAATGCGGAAATTAGACTTTACATGGCCAGCAGGCAGACATATGACGCATATGAACAGGTGTTTTATTTATTTTTTTTTTTTGTTTTTGTACGCGTGCTCTTCTGCATGAAAGTAAATAAAATTCAAACGGTTCTACTTACAGTTGTCGTCCAACGTCGAAAGATCTTTCCGTTGAGGCGCTCTGCATAGGCTCGTTGCTGCTTACATGCACATTAATTATGATTTTTAATTTGTTTGTAAAATTTTATGTTGAAATTTTGGTTTTAAAAACATGCACTTTTCATACCTTCACTTGTCGCCATGCTTAATAAAATTTTATTTCGAAACGTATAGTCAAAGGGGTTTTTATTTGTTGTTTTGCCTTTTTTTTTTTGTTGCCTTCTCTTTTCTTTTTTTTCTCTTTGGTTTTCACTTATTTCTTTTTTTTCCCTCTCTACACACCCGGCCGTGCTGCTTTGCTCACATCGGATATAGATCAATTTAAGTATAAGGCCGTATACGACCCAAAAAAAAAGAATATAAGACGAAAGAATAGAAAAAAAATAAATGCCTAGTTCTCTCGGTTGCACTTTTTTTGTTGTTTTTGCAGGGCCCACATTTGTGTATAGTTTTACATATATATAGTTTTTATAAATTTTTTTTTTTTTTTTTTTTTTTACGCAGGCCCTCTTCACTAAAGCCACCTGGGGCTTCGCCACCTTTTCGGTGCACGGAAACGCAACAAAAAAAAACAGGTGCCCTAGCTTAAGCCGACGACCGTCATATCGGATATGATCCACGCAACTGAGGCGGTGATTCTTTTCGCCGTTCCAGTGGCCTGAGCGAAGCGCCGATCTCGTTTCTAGCACGCCTCCTTCTCCCGTGCACTTCCCTTTTCCTAGTCGTCGCTCTAGCAAGTGCCCATCAAAGCGATAAGCAAAGGTTAATGCCCTTTATGGGGATTGGACTTTTTATTAAGTGCCAATTCTGCACGAAAACAATGTACAATGAAGAAATAGCATTAGCTTTTGCATTTTATATGCGAATAAACGGAAAAAGTAAAATTTACCCGATATCCGGAAGTGGCACCAGGCAGAATTCCTTTTGCTAACACAATTGAAGTGAAAGATTACTGCAAATTCTCCAAATTTGTTGCAGCAGGCTTAACGCTTTGGCCCAGCCGAATTTGAAACGGACTATAGGTTATACTATATGTATGACCATATATTTGCCAGCCAGAGTATATTGGGCACAACCTGCTCCCATGCGATCTTCAAGCGAAAAGAAAGTATCCGGATGCCGAGGCTACGCAAGAAAACTTTTCTTTGCGGAAATTGCTTCACCCCCTCTTCTGACAATCTCCCTTTGACAGGTCAAGGTTGAAGAAAGGGCCACTGACAACTAGCAAATATTGCCACTGAGCAATACTGAAAATAACCCATAGGTGGCCGATAGCCGTGCGGCTGCAGAAAATAATTTTTTTTTTGTACATATATAAAAACAATTATGGAAAATTTGTTTGTTTCGTCTGCTAAGGCAAGAATAATAAAAAATGCGATCATAGGCAGTTGGCGCTAAGACGAATCGCCAATTCAAACCGTAACTAAACAAGCAGTGCGTAAACATAAATAGCCAATGAACTGCTTGACTAAGGGAATGCAATTTAATTTACGATATTCGCCGCCAGCGTCGTTACACTATCTCTGACTTCAATGGAATGTAAATGCAAGGCATGGCTTGTATGTGTTATTTAATATTATTGCAAGTTTTCTTCTACACAGGGACACTGATTTTCTGATCAAATTTGGATTTGTTTCAATAATTTAACATCTTAAATAGCTCAGATTAATTCTGGGTAGCTCTGCAGTTTATGAACTATTCGTGCTCGTGCCAATAAGTGGCAAGCAATGGCTGCAAAGAAATAGTTTAATAGAGAAGTTTCACTGTACGTGGATACACATGGCCCACATGGCGGGCTATATTTTAAATGCTCATAATTGGATGCAGTCTGCAGTTGGCTAGGCAACGCCAGGGATAATACAATCTGGCTTAGCATGTGCGCCAACTTTCTGCGGCTTAGGTAATTTATTATGTAGCATGTTTTAATTAAACGGTAGGGTACTTACCTACTCCACCATTTTCCACTTTATTTGACTAAAGTTGCTTATCGATTATACTACTTATATTCACTTTAAGATGAGAGTGCATGAATAAATGTTAAATCATAGACCAACAACACTTACCTGGCCAAATGGATTGGGGGTAAAAAAAGGGCTTATGAACGTTGTAACTTATAATTTATTATCACATGCCGTGTCATAGAAAAAAAAAACACACACACACATGCGCACATATCAGAATAAATATTATTTATAATGCTTGTCCAACTATGGGCACAAAGGCAAAGGGCAAAGAGCCATTTCTGGCCCCAAATTCAGTCCCGCTTATCACCACAACCAACAACAAGAACAACAGCAACAACAGCAACAACAAATCTGCATATATTCCGGACCCTTTCACAAGCGGCTTGATTTGCACAAAGGCATATCATTAAAAAGCTAGGGCAAATAAAAAACAATTTTAAGTTTTTCGTTGGCATAGCACGCATTTATTTATTTAGGCATCAAGGTTAGCTCCAAGAAGGGGTAAGTACGGATGGGGTCTTAATATATGGCCATATAAAGCACCGGTAAACGATTAGAGCGCCAGGCTGTTGCTCCCGCAGCTTGCTGTCAAACTTGATGATGTGTTTTTGCAACTGTGCGCTATGTTTTCTCTTCTTTTTTTTTTTGTACTTTGGGGTCATTTACATAAACTCCCACGCACACACACGCACACACACGTAACCTAGACGAACTGAAATACATACACTGAGGATTATCCCTTTTTAATAGACTCATAAAACGGTTATTAACTTTGTTGCTTTGTGAGTGAAGAAAAAAGCAAACGGCACATAAAAAGTCTCTATGTATATTGCAGTCCTTTATTTCATTACCAGCTCAATTTATTACAGCTAGCATAGTTTTTGTTTGCGCCATGGACAAACAAGACGAGCAAAATATGCAAAGAAATTACATTTGACATTAATAAATGAGAAAGCTTGCACACGCCACCACTCTAGTCAAAGTCCTTGCCACATAATGCCGTCGCGTCGCGTCGAGTCGAGTAGTCCTTTCGCCCGCTTTCAAATTCATCCCACTGGTCCATCCCTGTCCCCGTTCACACAACAAAACAAGATAAATGAAATTCTGATGCAAATTTGATTTGTTTGTAAATGTTCGACGTTGCACTTGATGTGGGCGAACACTCAATCCCTAACTATGGCTGGGAAGCGGCAACTGGTAACTGGCAACCAGCAACTTGCAGCCGACAACCGACAACTGGCAACTGTTGCAGCTGCTGCCTTCATCAAATGCAAATGTGCGAGGTGGGCGGATGGACTTAGGGGGGCGTGGCGCAACATGTTGCCAAGAGCGCATCTCAGCGCATTCGAGCTGACGTTTTTATGCGTTTATGATTAATTATGCAATTTGGGGTTCGGGCTGGGATTGCATGTTCGACTGTCCCCCACAAGGGTATTATGCTGTGTTAAGGTCTCTAACGTATCAATCAGCTTGGCAGTTGCCGAAGCTGTGGCAGCAAGGAGACATTTTTATTAATTGCCTGCCAGTTCTTAGCTCTTTAATTTTACAATACAAAACATATTAGTACTTATAGTATTAACAAAATTTAAGTAATCCACATCTCAATAATTTTACACTAAGGTTCCAACAAAATTGTTCTGCAATGGTAGAGCTTTCATCCAATAACCCAACCACCCCTATTTTTTGCGCCCGTCACCAATCATCGAATTTTACTGTCGGCAAGTTTTTTCGAACCTCTGCACACGGCCGCAAGTTTTTGCACACGGCACGGATTGTGGCCGTATTTTCTGGCCAGGTAGACCTGGTAGCTCTATCAGGCATACACATACGTAAGTCGCCGGCCAACGTGCGATCAGTAAAAACGAAAGGCAGTTGCTACGGCCCCATCCACCCATATCAACATCGTACCATAAACCTAAACAAAAGCATTATGTTGATCCGAACGTACGTTTAACTATCAGTTAACAATATGTAATAAATAATAGCAGGGATAAGTGCAAGATTAACATTCGACCACTCACCAATTCGTAACGACATTATTAAATGATCGATATTAAAGTCTCAGACTATATTTTATCCATTTTAGCTTTAAGAAGAACAGCATCACTCTAGGCATGATTTTTATTGGATAATATGCGAGTATATAAGAGTTTTGACACTCTCTCACTCAGTCTCATTCTATATTTATTATCATTATTGTCACTATCGCTACAAATCGGACCCACTGATAACATAAGTCAAAGCAAATACGCTGGACTTTTCTTTAAAAACGAGTTGCAAAGGTGCGGTTCAAGCAGTCGTTGCTGCGCACTCACTAGCTGAGGAGTTCATATTAATTTCTCGCCTTATTCAAGTTATTGACTGGCTGGAGTGTTAGAAAAGTGTCACAAAGCTACGAAAATAGCTATGGAATCCGAAAATGACACTTCCTTAGTCATGGGTACCACCCGAGCCCATGGTATGCTCATGTATGTAAGTATCGAATAATTTCCATTTCTATGTTTCGTAGGTCGATAAAAGGAAAAGTTCCATTCTATATACACTCTGCACTTGATTGCAACAACTACACAATATTTCATGCCTTCTTAGTTTCACACAGGCATTGATGAAGTACTGCTGTGGAAGAATTGGGCGCCCACCAATGTTTGTCAGTTTGTGTTCTCCACCTTAGCCTTCTTCGTATTATCCGTTTTCTATGAATGGCTGAAGATGCTGCGTGTAAAGCTGGTGCTTCGGGATGAACGCAAAAAATCCGAGTACTTGGCCCAGGTCGGATCCGAAACGGCCTTGGTTGAGCTAAGAGAACAAACCTACTGGCAGCGTATTTGGAATTCGGCCCATTTTGTGCAAGCGCTTCTTAACATCCTGCAGATAGCCATCTCCTATGCAATAATGTTAGTTGTTATGCTCTACAACTATTGGCTGTGCTTAGGCACATGCTTGGGTGCTGCCACTGGATACTTCTTTTTCGGGATGACAAAGCTAAGCAAGTCTTTTGATGCTTTGCCGTAATCCAGTACATTGACAAATATCTAATAGATAAGCACAAATTGCAATTTAACGTGAAGATAATCATAGTCTTTTATTAGCTGATTAATTTGTTTAGTCTGTTTGTTTAGAAATAAGCTAATTAAAGGGAAGAAGCTCCGATAAGTCTCTAGTCAGCAGGCGTTGGGCATTATGCCATTCAGTATTATATTTTCATCACAAATGTGAGTATGTGGATGAGCTGGTTCACCGAAAAGTACAAAATATAACGTCTCATTTACTTATCTTATGACATATCTATTCACCAAGTGAACTAATTTTACCTTTATATTCCTGCTTATAGTATATAAACTATTAACAATCGCTATTGAATCGATTGTCATCAGAATGTAAATGTACATTTTTATCTATTTACCAATACTTCTATATACATCTGTCTTGGTATATACATTACTATCGATCTATCTGTCTATCTATCTATCTATCTATCTATCTATCTATCTATCTATCTATCTATCTATCTATCTATCTATCTATCTATCTATCTATCTATCTTCTATCTATCTATCTATCTATCTATCTATCTATCGATCTATCTATCTATCTATACTAGCTATCTATCTATCTATATATCTATCGATTATCTATCTAGCTATCTATCTATCTATCTATCTATCTATCTATCTATCTATCTATCTATCTATCTATCTATCTACTATCTAGCGATCTATCTACCTATTATCTATCTATCTATCTATCTATCTATCTATCTATCTATCTATCTATCTATCTATCGATCTAGCTACTATCATCTATCTCCTATCTCTTATCTATCTATCTATCTATCTATCTATCTATCTATCTATCTATCTATCTATCTATCTATCTATCTATCTATCTATCTATCAATCTATCTATATCATCTATCTACCTATCTCTTCATCTATCTATCTATCTATCTATCTATCTATCTATCTATCTATCTATCTATCTATCTATCTATCTATCTATCTATCTATCTATCTATCTATCTATCTATCTATCTATCTATCTATCTATCTATCTATCTATCTATCTATCTATCTATCTATCTATCTATCTATCTATCTATCTATCTATCTATCTATCTATCTATCTATGCATCCATCTATTTATCCATCCATCTATTTATCCATCCATCTATTTATCCATCCATCTATCTATCAATCTATCAATCCATCAATTTATCCACCTATCTATCCATCTATCCACCCGCCTATCTATGCATCTATCTATTTTTCTATCTATCTATCTATCTATTAATCATTATTTTTATACTGCATCTAACAAAATCTAAATGTATATATCTATTTGTGTAACTACCTGAAAGAAAAGTCCTGCTCGTCATTAGTTTTACAATGTATGGAAATCCATTAGAACGTGTAATTATGTGCCATCAAATTTGTGTTTAATAAAGATTGTTGTACTCACGCAAGCATATGCAATGCATTTAAATGCTTCGCTTTGGCATATTCATGACAATGTTAAGCATTTCATTTCAAAGCACTGCCAATTCATGATGGAACTGAAAAAACGACTTAATCACTGGGACTCATGCGAATCGGAAACTAAGCAGAATACGTGAGCATAACTCTAGACTTTGGACTAAGTATATACTTGTATGTGCAAGCGGTTCGTATACATATAGGAGTGTGTACATAAATTAATGTACACAAAAGTTGAATGGAATGGTTTCCAGCATGAAATCATGGTGCCCAGCAAGTGGCGGGCTTAATAGTGGACTTTTATTTGCATGCAATACGCCACAGAAATTTGTCCATACAGACACAATCGTGCCCGCATCCGGTTTCGTACCCAGACCATTGCAAATAGCAGTGCTGTGCAAATAGAGCGAGATCCAGCTTGTTAATGCCGAACGGCCCATTTGTGGCACGTTTCAGTTATTAATGGTGGGCCAAGCGTTCGTGAGTAAGATGAGATATAGACGGAGCAGGAGATGGAGCTGGAGCTGGAGATGGCCAATGAGCGTGGGTCAGCGGTAAATGTAAAGTGCACGCAAGTAGTCAACAGTGTGAGAGTTCATGTTGACGTGACCAATACGCTTGTCAGCTTTGTGTGCACCGCGAAGTGGCCATCGGTTGTCTGCCGTTGGATTCTTGCATGTGTAATAGTCTATGGGCCTTTCTGATGCAACCGCCAACCCTCTTCGTTTGCACGGCAGTCCGGCTTTGTGTTCATTTTACACAACCGGCTGGCAGAATAAACGGCCCTTTATTTGGTCATTTCCTACAAGCTAATAATGAAATTGAATAACTATATAGAACAAGCGATTTACAGACAATTTAGTGCTCCAATTAAAATACTATATTGATATTTACAGTCATTTACACTTAATTTAAAACGATTGAGAATTGATTGAATTGATTTTTCGACATTTTTTATTGACTCGTCGGAATCCACCAGTGATTCATGCAAAATATAATAATACTTGTTTTTATCAAGCATTGCGTCTTTATGGAAACCCATAATATTAATTTATTTTAAAAACAAAGTATATATGAATAGCTTTTAAATCACAAACGGCCTTTCATAAAAAACCCCAGTTGTATTACCACAGAGAATGGTTATTATAAATAAAATGTTGCGTATACGCAATGTGCTGCTTCATAACTCTTTCTACTATTTTAATTGTAGTTTTACCTAACTAGACCTTTTTCTAAAGATTAATTTTATTAAAATTATAATAAGTTGTAGTAATATTTGACTATGCTGGCTCGTTATGACATTTTAATATTAAGTCAATGGGGTGTGAAACTCAGAATCTTCCGTCAAATTAGAAATTTATTTTCAACATATACGTATCTCTATATGTATATTAATAACTTTTTCTTTGGTCTTTCATTACGGTTATATATTAATATTGTATATTGAATAACTCTTTTTTATTGCAATTTTAAAAGCCCTTTTGGTCTCTGTTATTGTCTATGTTAATTGTGCTGGCTGCTTTTGTTTTAGCTTATTACGCGGTATTTGTGTAAAATTAAATTAAATTAATACCCGTAGATAATGTCTAATTAAGTACATACAATAGGAATCTACCTTTAATGCCCTCTTTGGCCTGTTCTGCATTGCAGCTTTGTGTTTTGAATACACTTTTTGGCACCATAATTAGATTTCGTGATTTACGGCGTTTGATTTCCAGATGTGATTGCTTTAATTCCCGGCAACTTCCGCTGTTGTGGAGGCGGTGCTGCGAATTCTTGCTGTTGTTGCTGTCATCATTGTTGATGTTGTTACTTGTATTGTTGTTGTTGCTGCTGTTGTTGTTATTACTGCCGCCGCCAACACTTCTGCTACTTCTGCTGCTGCTGTTCTAATGAAGTTGTCTGTTGTAATTAGAAGTAATAATAATTTCCTAGCCGAGTCATTATGAATTTGGATTGCGGCCAAGGAAATGCCATTAATCAAATTAGCAAGCGCATAACTTTTTATGATTATGCGTAAGATAAGCGAACTGCGCCTTTCCTTCTCTCTCTCTGTGGCTGTCCTCGAAGTGGGGAAAGGGACAAGGGGGACATATGCAAAAACAAACTTCCGCCACTGGCGCAGAGCAAACTGACAAGTTCGCAGTTGTCAGCCAGTTGCCGGCCATTTGCTTGCGCTCCGTCATGTTTTTATTTTATTCTATTTATTTTTTAATCAACAATTTTCTTAATGAAAAGCCCAGCAGATCCCAGACAGCGAGAAATATGGGCGGAGTGGGGTTACAAAATTAATTATGATAAACCGCGCAAACAAGTAAAGCTCTTGCCATGTCCTCCGTTACCAACATGCTGGTATTCTAATCGCCGTAACGAGTATAACAAGTTAATAGTAATTGAAAAATTCCATAATAATGAAATGCAGCTGTGGCGTGTCCTTGCTATTAGCTTTCGCCGCCTATTGGCTGACAGGGTTTTGAGCACCCCTCCTGCCTCCTTTTTGGACGCATGCCTCTATGCATATGTGAGAGACAGTCGTCGTATGGCAGAGGCACCAATTCAAACGTATCGGGTCATTGATGCCTCGGCCTAATTAAGCTGAATTATCGCAATACTGTTAAGGCTGGCACGCATGCGTGGTGTGCGTGTGTTGGAGCGGCATTTGAATCATTGCCATTTACAAGTGCCAATTAATTTTCATGCCCATTGACACGGGCACAAGCCGCCCCACAGTGCAACCTTCTGTTTGGCTCATTGACATCTCTACCAGGCATTTTAGCGCTTCGCCTTTCTGGTCTTTGCTGTTGTTTTTGTTAATTGTGCTGGCTGCTGCTGCTGCTGCTGTCGCTTGTTAACTTGTTTATTTTGAAATTGCGTGCGGAATTTAACGCATTTTGACCTAATTTGCCAGATGGCAAAGGCAATGCAAAGTTCTCCCTGACTTTGCCCGTTCGCCAACCATGGCTCACTGCACATGGTACTGATTATGGCCAAACAACTATTGTCCATTTATGTGTCACATGTCTGTATACAACTTACGTGGCATGTCTCCTCCCACCTCCAGTTGCTGCCATACCCTGTAACCAATTTACTACAGAAGAGTCTATTCATTCAATGTTTTGGACCAGAATCACACTAGCATTACATTGATTTCCAAATCCGATTTTAAAAAATAGTTTAAGGAAATCTTGAAGATAGACTTTTTTATTTCTACTTTAATTTACGCCAGAGTGTTCATATCTTATCACGTTTGAATAAATAATCAAATCCGTTTAATTACATATGTAGTCCAGAATAACCAACTTAGCGGATACAATCTCTGTCACTCTCATAGTTTTCTACTCTATCTGATCTTATATTGATTTCCAGATCATAGATAATGCTCATTTCAATAACTGAATATAAGTAAAAAAAAATATTTTGAAAACGATTTTTGTAAGCTCCAATGTTCTCAAGTGAGACTGATTTAAAAGTAATTAACAAAATTGTGAACTTTTTTAAAAAAGGACATACTGTGTAATCGGCCATTATGATATCAGTGTATTGTAGTT